GGTGCAACAGAGGAGTAGTATGCTCCCTAAGTGCCGCTCCTGTTAGCAACCTGGCTGCCGAGCGCTGGACCATTTGAAGCTTCTGAGCAGTCTTCAAAGGCACCCCAGGTAGAGAGCGTTGCAGTAGTCTATGCGGGATGTAACCAGAGCATGGACTACAGTGGCCAAGTCAGACTTCCCAAGGTACGGGCGCAGCTGGCGCACAAGTTTTAACTGTACGAATGCTCCCCTAGTCACGGCTGAAACCTGGGGTTCCAGGCTCAGCGACGAGTCCAAGATCACACCCAGACTGCGAACCTGCGTCTTCAGGGGGAGTGTGACCCCGTCCAACATAGGTTGTAACCCTATACCCTGTTCGGCCATACACTGTAGCTATGGAAGGGGAAAGGGAGAGCATTGCGCTTCAAATAAAAATTCTTCCCACCCAAATGAATTTTTCCCTCATTACCCAGATTTCTAGCATTTGCAACAAGTAAGACACTTTGAACTCTGATGTTTGATGTATTTGCATTCCCATGGGAGCTTTATATGACTCCCCCTCCCTTTGGATGCTTAAACGGTGTTCAATTTTAAATCATTGAAATGCTAGACATTTGGGAATTGAAGGGGAATTTAATTGGGGTTCACATTCCTCCTAGGTGAGCGATGCCATCATTTTGCTCCTCCCCTATAGCTGTGCCCCCAAGCACACACCTGCAGAATAGTACATGCTCAGATGAATTCTGATATTTAATTAGGCACTTCTTACATAATGTCTTCTATTTCCTTAAGGAATTCCCTGGGGTGTGTGCCTCTCAATTGCCAGTTAGTTTATGGATTATAAAATGAATTTTGTAGCATTTTCTTAGGCAAAAATTACTCCAAGGTGTTTTTGCCAGTTCCTTCCTTGCAACTACAGCACCTGTCATTCATTGGTGGTCTCCTGTCCAAGCACTAACCAATGATGACCCTGTTTAACCTCCAAATTCAGATAGTGTCTCATGCTCTTGGGCTATTTAGGCCATTAATTAATTTCCTGAAAGCATCCAAAAATGAATGAAAGCTTTACTTGCTTACTTAGGCGATCCCTAATTGTCTGAGTATGATGGCCTTCCAAGTGTAGTGTCTTGATGGTGGATACATAGGTGACTGTGGAGCCCTATTCTTGACCCATATGTTCTTCCACAGTGAGGACATTGGTTTCCAGGGAGAAGGTAGTCCCTGTCAGAGTTGGCTTGATGTGCCTTCCTCTTGGCACATCTTCCCTTTCATCTTCCATTTGAGCCTCTTCATATTCCACAGCACTGCTTGTCACAGCTGACCTCCAGTTAAAGCACTCAAGGGCCAGAGATTCCCAGCTTTAAGGTTAGCTTTAAGCCCATCTTTGAATCTCTTTTCCTTCTCCACCAACATTCAATTTTCCATTCTTGAGTTGGGAGTATAGTCACTGCTTTGGGAGACGGTGATTGGGCATTCAGACAGCATGGCCAGTCCATTGAAGTTGGTGGCGTAGGAGCATTGCTTCACTGTGGTGGTCTTTGCTTCTTCCAGCATGCTAACATTTGTCTACCTGTCTTCCTAAGATATTTGCAGGATTTTTCAGAGGCAATGCTGTTGGAATTGTTCCAGGAGTTGAGGGTGACATCTGTAGACAGGCGTATAACAGGATTGGGATGACAATGACTTTATAAAAAAGCACCTTGGTGTCCTAAAGATGCCCTGATCCTCAAACATTCTCTGCTTCATTTGGAAAAATGCTGCACTCACAGAGCTCAGGCAGTGTTGTATTTCAGTGTCAATGCTGACTTTTGTGGAGAGGTGGCTGCCAAGGGAGCAGAAATGGTCAACATTTTCTAAGTATTGTCAAAGGCTTTCATGGCCGAAATCACTGGGTTTTTGTAGGGTTTTTTTGGGCTATATGGCCATGTTCTAGAGGCATTCTCTCCTGACATTTCGCCTGCATCTATGGCAAGCATCCTCTAATGTTACACCATTAAGCTGTATTTCTGGCATTGCAGAGGGATTGGCTGGTGACTGCTGGAAGAGCACTTTGGTTTTCCCGATGTTTCTTGAGAGGCTGAGCTTTTCATATGCTTCTGCAAAGGTGTTTAGAGTAGCTTGTAGGTCTTCTTCTGAATGAGAACAGACTACATTTAGGGCATTGATGAATTTCCTGAGAGCATCCAAAAATGAACGGAATCTGTGGTACCCTTAATGGTATTGTATGTCATTATTGGTAGGTGTTGCCATTTGGCCTATTACTCTACTTAATACAATTCAGTAATTTGTTTTCTTTTAAAAAAGTAATATATCTTAAAATAGGTTTATACACACAGAGACACCGGGCAGTGAGAGAAATGCTTCTCTCTGCCTGGGTTTTCTAATAAAATGAGGAAAGGTGTGGGAGAATAACAAGGAAACCAGGAGTCTCTTTGGCTTCTGCTCTGTCTAAGGCAGGGGTCCTCAAACTAAGGCCCGGGGGCCCTCCAAGGTCATTTACCCGGCCCTCGCTCAGGGTCAACTTAAGTCTGAAACGACTTGAAAGCACACAACAACAATGACAACAATCCTATCTCATCAGCCAAAAGCAGGCGCATACTTCCCATTGAGATACTAATAAGTTTATATTTGTTAAATTGTTCTTCATTTTAATTATTGTATTGTTTTTAAGTGATTTTTGCACTACAAATAAGATATGTGGTATCCATAGGAATTCATTCATGTTTTTTTCAAATTATAATCCAGCCCTCCAACAGTTTGAGGGACTGTGACCTGGCCCTCTGTTTAAAAAGTTTGTGGGCCCCTGGTCTAAGGTGTTGAAAAGGGGCCTATGGGCAGCTCCCTGGGGCTTTAGCAGACGCTAAAGGCTTAATTCTGCCTGACTCTTTACTTCCAAAGTTTATATAGCTACCTAGAATGCAATTTATCTTCTGAGAGCTGCTTCTGCCAAGATTCATTTCTATGTGCAGCCAACCCGAGGGAAGTTCTGAGATTCATCAAAAGCAGTAGAAAAATTGAAAATATTTATTTTTTTTGCAAAAAAGATAAATTTTGGGTTTTGTAGGTTTTTTGGGCTATATGGCCATGTTCTAGAAGCATTCTCTCCTGATGTTTCACCTGCAAGCAAATAGTAATAGTGAAAGGAATGTACTAATTGGCAAGCCGAGGGAGGACCAGACACTCTTTGATGGGAGAAGTCAAACCAATCAACATCGCTACCCGGAAAGAGGTAGAAGACAGTCTGAAAGATTAAGAGAAAAAAGTGGTCAGAGAGAGGTTTCCCAAGGGAAACGGAATGCTTTTGCTATGGCTTTCTGAATAAATATAGGGCCTACATTCTTCAGTAAGTTCAACGTTTGGTTTTCATGTGTAACTATGCCTTTTGCTTCATTTTTTATTATTATTATTATTATTATTATTATTATTATTATTATTATCTTTATTTGTACCCCGCTAACATCTCCCGAAGGACTCGGTGCAGCTTACAAAGGCCAAGGCCCTCAATAAAACAACAGCAAACAAATACAAACAATAAAACTCATAAAGCAACCAATAAACATTAAAGCAGTAACAGTAAAACAATAAAACAATACATCATAACACATTAAAACTAGGGCCGGACTAAATGTAATGGATAAAGTTAAAAGTGCTGGGCATGACAGGTGAAATGTAAGGATTTTAGGGTAGGTGCGATGTGCAGACAATCTTAATTCTCTAGTAAAGTGCGTTTGGGACATGATACTGGGAGTTTCCTATTCTGGAAAGGCACACTGGAACAGCCAGGTCTTCAAGCTCTTCCTAAAGACTGCCAACGTTGGGGCTTGTCTGATGTCCATTTCTGGTATCCATGCCTTAATGTTCATACTAAGATTTCTGTTTACTTCTGCCTGGGATTCATGTTAATGCTGAGATTCTTGTATGCAGTTTGTCCTAGTCTCAAGCTCCTGCATTGGGATTTTAATGGTTCAAGTTTGCTGCTGTTTCTTCAAGGGACTTTGGTCCTTGCAACCTTTTGGAACTGCAAGACTTTAACTTCTGTGGACTTGTTTATTGGATTTTTGCAACCCTCCTGGTTCCTGACTTATTGACTGTCTTATTTTACCTTGCTCAACTGACTGTTTTGTGGACATTTCTTTTTTTCTTTTCTTTTTTTGGAAAATATGTTTATTATAATTTTGCTTACAAATATTTTAAAAGCAGAAAGAAGGTCTTTAGGGGGAGGGTGGTTGGGGATGGTTGGGTATGGGGGTGTGCAAGAATGGGTTAGGAGTGGATTGGGGAGTGGGGGAGGAAGCGACTGAAAATCGAAGATAGAGGAGAGAAGAGGAAGAAAAAAGAAAAAGGGAAAGAGAAGAGAAGAAAAGAGAAAAGAAAGGAAATAAGAAAAGAGAAAGAGAGAGAGAGATTCATAGCAGTTAAAAATCAGATTAGAGACACTTTCTTTTTGTTGACTTGCACCTTTATCTTCTCTGGGTATTTTTGGTTTTCACACTGGTGCCATACTTTTGTTTGGTGTTGGTCACTTCTCTTTTTTTTGGATTTTTCAAATCTCTAATTTCTTGTTTTTAGTTCTATAACTTGTACTCACTTAGGAGTATCAAGTCTTCGTGGGCTTTGTTGTGATTCCTTTTAGTTTTTGTATAGGGTCCAGTCTGTTGGGTTTATTGGTTTGCCCTCCGGGTCTTTTAGATAGTACATTAGTAAGTCCATATCCATTATTTCAGATACTTTAGCTTCCCATTCTTCTTTGGTTGGCAGTTCCTTTAGTTTCCTCTTCTTAGCGTATACTGTGGACATTTCTTTATTACTTGTTTGAATGCTATTTTAACTTTTTTGGCTATTGCTATATTAATCCTCAATAAACTGCTTTGCTAAAAGAACGTTGGTGTGTTTATGGGTTCAAAGGTGCCAACCCCAGCCTTGGTGTACAACACTTATCTTGTACTTCTTATTTTCAGTCTTGTGACAGAGTATTTTCTATGCTGTGCTCTGAAGCTATTTTTCCATTTCTTACACTGTAGGTTCTCGTCCTCGCCTTGAAGATGCATCTCCACGGATAATAGAACATCCCTCTGATCTCATTGTGTCCAAGGGAGAACCAGCAACGTTGAACTGCAAAGCAGAAGGTCGCCCTACTCCTATTGTTGAGTGGTACAAGGATGGGGAGCGAGTGGAGACTGACAAAGAAGACCCACGATCTCATCGCATGCTGCTGCCTAGTGGGTCCCTCTTCTTTCTACGCATTGTGCATGGCCGGAGGAGCAAACCCGATGAGGGAGTGTATGTCTGTGTCGCCAGGAACTATTTGGGTGAAGCGGTGAGCCGGAACGCATCTCTGGAGGTAGCCAGTAAGTAGAATATTCAACATCTGAGTATCTGAATTCAGTAATGTTGGTTGAGAAATGGATGCCAATTGAGCAGTCATGAATTATTCTCTGTGAGTATTCGTATACCTTGGAAAAAGACTCCTTCGCCCATTTCCTGACATTGTAATTGTACATAGTAATCTCTGGCTAGGAATGTGTGATTAGGTGTCCTAAAGATGCATCTTCAAGATCTCTCTATCTCACTGTCCATTTATAACATGTTGCTTCTCCCTGCTCCATTTTTTCTTCATGTCCCCCATCAAGTCACATTGATTAATGCCTCAACTGCAAAGAAAAGAGAAACGTTTCTGCTAATTGCATTCATTGGCAGGGATCTGGGGTGTTTGCTTCACCAAGCAAGTTCAACAAATGGTTGAAAACAAGAGTGATGAGGCCTCTTAGAAATGTCTGCCACTTTGTCATTCCACTGAGAGACAAACATCTTCTTCCTCGCACAGTGCTGAATCTGTGGCTGCCTATGTCCAAATCTTGAGTAAATGTGCAGGCTTGCTTCCATGCCTCCTCCTCTGCCACATTAGAATGGCGGAAATCCTTTAAATCAGGACTGTTTATTTATTTATTTAAAATATTTGCACCCCGCCCTTCTCTACCTCCGAAGGGGGACTCAGGGCAACTTAAAGCTGGCAGAAATTTGATGCCCTCCATATACAAACATACTTCCATAATAAGTAAAACATTAAATGACTGAACGAATGAACAACAACAACACAACATTAAAATTATATTTAAAACTATTTAAAATAGTGCAAATTGAATTAGTTGACCATGACTGTTGGAGAGAGAGGCCTACTTGTCTTCTTGGTTGCAGATATTTGGGCTCTTTGAGCTTTACATCTGCATATATCCATATAGGCCCCTGGTAGCGCAGCAGGTTAAACCGCTGAGCTGCTAAACTTGCTGACCGAAAGGTTGGCAGTTCGAATCCGGGGAGCCAAGTGAGCTCCTGCTGTTAGGCCCAGTTTCTGCCAACCTAGCAGTTCAAAAACATGCAAATGTGAGTAGCTCAATAGGTACCACTTTGGTGCTCCATGTGGTCATGCTGGCCACATGACCTTGGAGGCGTCTATGGACAATGTTGGCTCTTTGGCTTAGAAATGGATTTGAGCACCAACCACAAAACATTAAAATTAGACTAAAACCATTTAAAATAGTGCAGATTGAATTAGTTGGCCATGACTGTTGGAGAGAGATGCCTACTTATCTTCTTGGTTGCAGATATTTGGGCTCTTTGAGCTTTACATCTGCATATATCCATATAGGCCCCTGGTAGCGCAGCAGGTTAAACTGCTGAGCTGCTAAACTTGCTGACCAAAAGGTTGGCAGTTTGAATCCGGGGAGCCGGGTGAGCTCCTGCTGTTAGGCCCAGCTTCTGCCAACCTAGCAGTTCGAAAACATGCAAACGTGAGTAGATCAATAGGTACCACTTCAGTGCTCCATACAGTCATGCTGGCCACATGACCTTGGAGGCGTCTATGAACAATGCTGGCTCTTCGGCTTAGAAATGGATTTGAGCACCAATGACAAAACATTAAAATTAGATTAAAAACCATTTAAAATAGTGCAAATTGAATTAGTTGACCATGACTGTTGGAGAGAGAGGCCTACTTATCTTCTTGGTTGCAGATATTTGGGCTCTTTGAGCTTTAGATCTGCATATTATTATTATTATTATTATTATTATTATTAAACTTTATTTGTACCCTGCTAGCATCTCCCGAAGGATTCGATGCGGCTTACACAGGCTGACAACAACACAACATAACAATACAATCTAAGCAAATCAAACAATTAAAAACAGAATAAAGCAAAGTAAACAACAGGCACAATACACTAAAACACAATAAAACTGGGCCGGGCCAAAAGGTGGGTACAAGGATTAAAAGTGCTGATGCATATATCCATATAGGCCCCTGGTGGCACAGCAGGTTAAACCGCTGAGCTGCTAAACTTGCTGACCGAAAGGTTGGCAGTTCGAATCCAGGGAGCCAGGTGAGTTCCTGCTGTTAGGTCCAGCTTCTGCCAACCTAGCAGTTTGAAAACATGCAAATGTGAGTAGCTCAATAGGTACCACTTTGGTGCTCCATGCAGTCATGCTGGCCACATGACCTTGGAGGCGTCTATAGACAATGCCGGCTTTTCGACTTAGAAATGGATTTGAGCACCAACTCCCAGAGTTGGACACAACTGGACTTAGTATCAGGGGAAACCTTTACCTTTACCCTATATCCATCATGGACTAGTACCCGCTGATATTCCCATCCTCCATGAATTATCTAATTGAAGGGGAATTTAATTGGGGTTCAGAATTCCTCTTGGGTGAGGAAACCTTCCAAGTTGGCAATCATCTTATAGTAGTAAATTAATCCATCTCAGTATGTTGTGCATGAAGCAGTGCTTCCTTTTGTATGTGCTGGATTTCCAACTCCCAGTTCATTGCATGGTTATTTCCAATGCTATGAGAGAAAGTAAAAATATTATTTTTCACTGCCAGTGGATAAGTATTTGAGTAAGGAATCTCACCAGTTTCAACATTTTGAATTCCACCAACCTTTCACTGTTTTATCACTTTCTAACAAAGATAAGGCATGCACTCCGTTTATAAGTCCATTCACTCCAGGATATAGATTCTTTCTAGCAACGTGTCCAGCTGAATTCCTGGCAAGCTTCTCTGATGCGTCTTTCACAGAGCAAAGGTCTCTCAACCAAGCAAAAAACCACACAGTTTGTGGATTCAGAAGAGATCCAGGTTTGTTATTTATCTGCCCTGACCTTTGTGGCTTTCCAAGGCACTCTCAGCCCATTGTCTTTCCTAATGGTTTTATAGAGACAAAGATCTGCAAACAAACAGTGCAGAAAAACACCCAGGTCCGCTGGAAGTGACACAAGATGAATGATGGCCTTGCCTAAGACAAGGCCAAACATCACGGGTGGGGTGAGGGAAGGAAGCACTCTTTCTGCTAAGCTTTAGGAGTCATTTTCAGGCATTTCATGAGCTGAATATAGCCTTACTTTCTGCTCTTGAAATGTCATGAGGGGACGAGAGAAACCTCTATCTATTAAACCTGCATGATTTATGACTATTGATACCAGATTATATCCTCAAAATAAAGCTTCCAGAGGAGTGTAGTGTGGTCAAGGTAATTGGTCAAAATGTGGATATCAGAAGGGAAAATCTATAAAATGGTTTTCTGTGAAGCTAACAAAATAGGTGGGCCAAAAATGAGGATTGGGAACAATTGTTACAAAGGCAAGGGATGACTTTCCAGTGGCGGATTTTTCAGGGAAGATTGATGCTGATCATCTGTCTTGTAGATCCTTGCATGAAAGTTGATTTTACTTTTAATCAAATCTTTAATGTGGTTGTGTTGGTGTAGAGCAGTAGTTCCCAACCTGTGGTCCGTGGACCACTAGTGGTCCCCAAGAACTACAATATGGTCCACGGCCTCGCCTTTACTACACTGTTGGAATGAGAGCGAGTGGTCTTGCAAAACCCTCTTATAGGCAATGGGGATGTCGAGAGGGGAGAGACTGACTACCCACAAAAGGCACAACAACAAGCCTCCTGACCAGGCATGTGGGTGGGGGGCTTGAGGGGCTTCAGCCCCCCTCCCAAAAATTCTCAGGGTGGTCCGTGAGAAGGCCTTACTGGTACATTATTTAAACTGTTATGCTTATTCATATCATGATCTGATCACCATGATCAATATATCCCATATGCATGGGGCTATTGGGATAACGATACAAAAGATTTGCTAGGGTAGATCCTCACCCCCCCCCCCCCCCCCCCCCCCGGAATCAAAATCCTGGCTACAGGCCTGCTCCTGACTGCTGCTTTTCCTCTTCTTCCTTCTCACTGATAAGAGCCCTTCCATGTGGCACATGAAAGCAGGGGCACCTTGGTGTCTTCATTTTTAGGTCTGTTACTGAGGTTATTTGGGGTAATGATTCAGACCACTTTGACCAGGGACCACTCTCCAACATTAGTCCCAAAAGGGTTATGAATCTGTTTTTGGTCAACTTAGATTTGGTTGGGTTATTTGGTGTGGTGATTCAGAAAATTGCATTGGAAAGACCATGTCAGCTTTAGATTATTAAATACTTTATGTACTCGAGTATAAGCCTAGTTTTTCAGCCCCTTTTTTAGGCTGAAAAATTCCCATTCAGCTTATACTCAAGTCAAGATTATTTATTATTCAATTCTATTATTATTATTATTATTATTATTATTATTATTATTCTCTATTATTACATTTATTATTTTACTTTATTATTAGTGTTATTACATTTATTATTTTACTCTATTATTACTGTTATTATTACATTTCTATTACTTTATTATTATTACATTTATTATTTTACTCTATTATTACTGAAAGGATGTGCAAACATATTTACACTGAAAAAGGTTGATATGGTTTAATCAGAGTTGGACAGTCTTATCTTAAATTACAGTTTTATGTAAATATTCAAAAACATTTAACCTACTGATGCCCCAATTAATGTCATAGTATTGGAATCTATTTTTATTTTGGAATTTACCAGTAGCTGCTGCATTTCCCATCTTCGGCTTATACTCGAGTCAATACGTTTTCCCAGTTTTTTTGTGGTAAAATTAGGTGCCTCGGCTTATATTTGGGTCGGCTTATACTCGAGTATATACAGTATGTTTTTTGTGGGTGAACAGATGGAGACTACTGGATGGCATATGTTCTGTATCAGAAACTAGAGCGGATGTGGTCTATCCAATGCAATTCTTTGAGTCAGCACCACAAATAACCATACCAAATCTACAGTTGACCAAAAACTGATTTGTAACCCTTTTGGGACTAATGTTGAAGAGTGGTCCCTGATCAAGGTGGTCCTTGGTTAAATGGTCCCTGGTCAAAGTGATCCCTGGTCAAAAAAAAGGTTGGGAACCACTGATTTAGAGTGAAGGGATGCTGACGTGAGCTTGCTCAAAG